GACTACTATTACGGAACTATTCCTACTACTTACGACCACGAATACTACTATTACTCCTACTACTACGACTACCACTATATTACTATTTCCTAGTACTACTACTACTACGACTACTACTACTACTACTACGACTACTACTACTACGCTGCTGCACTACGACTACTACTACTACGACGACTACTACTACTTCTACTACTACTACACATACTAGGACTGCTACTACTATTACTACTACTACTACTACTACTACTACTACTACTACTTCTTCTACTACTACTACTACTACACATGCTACTAGTACTACTACTACTTCTACTACTACTACTACTACTACTACTACTACTACTACTACTACCACTACTACCACGACTACTACTACTACTACTACTACTACTACGACTACTACTACTACTACTACTACTACTACTACAACTACTACGATTGCTGAAGATGACGACGATGAAGACGACGTGCCGAGTCTATTTGCGATGTACCGAAATATCTCGCAATCCTTGCGCAAACAAGCTCACATTTCCTTGGCCGTGAGGGTAGCCCAGGAACCATCATCCGATATGGGAACAATCACCCAACAATATCCAATACGGCGAACAAGAGTGCGCAAATAATTCCACGCGCGGCGAACACCGAACACTCTCAGCACAACTACGGCGAGCTCTTACTGCGCACGGTCCCTTGCGAGAGCCCCGTGTGAAGGCGGAGACGACGCCAATCGCGACGACGACGACGACAAGGGCGCGGAGACAAGGGCGACGACTATCACGACGACTACGAAAACGACGAAGGCGACGACGATCACGACAAAGACGACGATCACGCCGACGATGGCGAGGTCGGGAGGGCGAGGAGGCGAGGGAGCCCGATTATTCTCAGCCGCGAGCTTAGGGGGGGCATTAACATCAAAGACCCTCCTCGGTTACGTAGAACGATGATGCAAGAAGATAAAGCTTGTGCGCGTTTCTCAACGGTCTCTAAGTAGACCAGATGGCGCTGGGCACGGCTGATCGGCTCATCGCACGGATAATCCGCCACCGCGCCTTTGGGCACAGAGTGGGCACGTCCTCGGGCCCTCTGCCCCATCCCCTCAGCATCAGCCTTCAGTCCTGAAGAGTCTCTCGGGGGCCGGGAGCCCAAACTGCCAAATCTTCCTGGGCCTCACGCATACCCTCTGGGGTTCCCGGCGTGGTGGCGCGCGACTTTTTGCTGGCCCAGGAGAGAGCTCGATCATGGACCCACAGAGCCCCGAGACGCCCCTAAGACAGTCCAAAGGAGCACCGAGTCCTATGACGGCCCAAGAGGCCCCCGAGACGGCCCCAAGAGGGCGCCAAGACGGCTCTAGAGGCATCCAAGATGCCCAAGACGGTATCTAAGACGGCCAAGATGGCCTCCAGGATGCTTCCAACACGGTCAAGATGAGCTTCAAGACGGCCAAGATGGCCGCAAAGACGGCCGAGATGGCCCAAGGTGGGCCCGAGAGGTCCAAGATTGCCCCAGAGGAGTCCACGGGATGCTCCACGAAGGCCCGAGGGAGCCAAAATCTTTATTTTTCCTTCGGCTCTTGAAGGGTTTGTGTTTTTCCTCGGTTTTGGTGTTCCGACCGCCTAAGACGGCCCAAGGAGTCCCCAAACTAGTCCCAGAGGCCTCACAGATGGCTCCAGAACGGCTCTAGAGGCCTTCAAGCCAGCCCCAAAAGGCCCAAGACGGCCCAAGAGGTTTCAAGAACGGCCAAGAAGGCCTCCAAGACGGCGAAGATGGCCCCAAGATGCACCCAAGACAGCCCCAGATGGCCTGAAGATGGCCTCAGACTGCCCATAAGGCCCACCAGAGGCCTCCAAGACGGCCCAAGACCCCTCCAAGATGCCCTCCAGGAGGCCCGAAAGCTCACAAACCACGTGGTCCGATAGCTCGCCTGACTCCGTGTTCCCCAAAGGCTTTCGAACCCACTCGGGGAACGCGTGGCCCGATGGCTTGGCCAAGCTCAAACCCAACTTTCGGCCACGCAGGCGCTTCTCAAAAGGCAGGGGGCGGCGGTGATTCGCCGTAGGCGTCTTCGATAACAAAGCTGACTTTATATAGATGGATCAACAGTCATCGAATTCAGCAAGGGCACAGAAGACTCCCCGTCCCATCTCCTCCCCATCCGCACGCTCCTGACTCTGTTCCTGCTCGGGGTACTGCTGCTGCTCCGTCCTCATGCTGGACACCCCTCCGCCGACGGGTTGAGCTGTCGGGCCCGTAGCCTGCTACACAGTTGGACTCGCATGCTGCGCGCCGACTGGGTTCAAATGGACGTGGGCCAGGACTGTCTGAGCCTGTCTGAAGAACGTGTGCATGTGCGATGCCAGTATGGCTGCCAGGAGCAGAAGCGCCATGCAGAAGTCGAGCGCGGAGAGCACCAGGACCTGCTCCGTCTGAGTCCCGATCCAGCCCACCAGCCTCAAGCTGCGCGTGGTCGGGTACAGGGTCCACAACACCAGCTTTGCTCGCAGCAGGGGTCGAGCGAGGAACTCGAAGCCCTTGCGCAGCTGCAGCTCGACGGCGAGCAAGATCATCGCTAAGGACGCCACCGACGCCACGGCGAACAGGCTGGTCCAGAAGAACAGGTTGGAGGCTGCCAGCATGAGGGCTCCCGCCAATTGTGCCACGATCGCAAAGGCCACCATCCGTCTCATCTTGCCAGGAGCGACTTCACAGCAGGCCTGCGCGAACGAGCGCCACTGCATGGGGGTGCTGATGGGGAGCAAAACGTGTACACACACCCCACCCCCCTGGCAGGAATGAGCGGGAAGGGAACAGAGACGGGGGCGAGCAGGCAGACTCGAAGAATGCTGCGCTTGTATTGGTTATTCGCTTCCGAATCTGGTGGGTGCAAGTCGCACAAGAGGGAGCATATGTGCTGCAACAGCGCTCCCTCGTCCACAATGGATTCTTGACGCAGCCTTTCGGTGAGACAGGCGGCGGTGAGCAGGGGTAGGGAGCTGAATGCAGGGATATTCGGCATGTGTACAATGCTGGTTGCTCCCCGGCTGAACAACCAGACGAGGTTTCGAAGCCCAACATGTGGCACGCCAGTGACCTGTGGCACCACAAGCAACAGAAGTTCGCCACAGCCGTGCGCGATGTACAGGTACTCCAAGAAGTATATTAAGCAAATTACAAAACACATCTTGGCTGCAGCACGAGTGCACACGGGCCACTCTGGATCACGGCCTGCGATGTTTGGGGCATTGGCACTCAGCCTCACCATGAACACGACCAGCCCGCCCGACAAGACAGTGAGCACGCCGAGCGCCGTGGACGCAAACAAAAACGGCAGCCTCTCCTGGCATATCGCCTCCCACGCTTCTGTCGGAGCAGGGCGAGTTAAGACAACGGCAGCTCAAACTAGGCCCCCAGACCCCTCCCCGAGTCCAAACGCACCAATTTTCCGAGTTGCGTCCAGCCGTGGCGACGGCGACGAGGGCCCCCCCGAAGGCCTACTTACGAGAACAGCGCCCATGCACCATGCGAAGTCTGAACTCCGTTCAGGCCCCGCTCCAACGCGACACGGTGCATAGTTCTTTCGACTCTGAGGACCGAACAACTATGCACCGTACCATTCCTGGGCCGAAAATCGCCGACGCCTCGAGAGACGCCAACGCGGCATGGTGCACACAAGTCGTCCGCCGACAACTACTCACGAAGCCTCGTCTCATCAGGGGGGGGGGTAGACCAAAACGGTGCCCCGTAATATGCCTGGCGCCCGGCATTTTCCAACCGCGCCCGAGTGTGACCAAAATGTTCGATTCGAAACCTGATAAGACTGTCAATTCTGGTCACAGCTGCTGTCACACACTACGTTCTCTGTCACAATGTCGGGCACGTGTTCGGCAACATCAATTTCTCTTCGGTCACACACTGTGCATCGTTCGGACGTCCATTCCCTGTGTTTTTGTCGGTTTCGTGCGCGTTGTTTCGCCAAGTGATCAAGGATGCTCCTCGATGGTCCTCGCCGAAGGAAAAACGCACAACGTCCGAGCGATGCCACGCGCGCTGTGAAACTAACACGCTGCCCGAGCTCGCCCTCCTCTGCTTCTGCCAGAGGCGGCGCCCGCGCCCCTGCCGCCTGGCGGGAGCAGTCGGCACCGCATCGGGCAAGCGGATCGAGTCGAAGTGTGCGTCGGATGGGGCCGCATCGACACGGAGACGGAATCGAATCGAATCGGCGACGCCAGGATGCAACAACAACATCACACAACAACAACAACAACAACAACAACAACAACGACAACAACAACAACAACAACAACAACAACAACAACAACAACAACAATCATTTTACCCGAACGCGTGGTGTTCTCCCCAGTGCCAGGGTTTTCATACGACACCAGGCAATACCCCCACTTCGTGGGGGGGCATTACAAGCTCTACCAAATATCCAAACGACTCTTCGCGACCACCCAAACCCAGCTTCCCGCCCTATGACGTTGGGACACTTCACTTCGTGGCGTGCGGACGACCGTGGCTACTACACTGGCGTGGGGTACACACCCACAGAACTTGGTCACTTATTCGGGGCGGTGTATGTCCCGCAAAAAAACGAATCTGTCCCGCATGGTATTATTTGACAGGGATGATGGCCCTGGCAGGTGCGCAACCGTTGTCGCAGAAGTTCGAAAAAGTTGCTCGCAAAAGCCCGTTTGACAGAAATGTTTAAAAAGTGTTGGGTTTCCTACGAATCCGCAAGAGCGCGCGGGATGAGATTTTGACATTTTTTTTTGTTGAAAAACCATTGGTTTTTTGATGTTTTTATGTTGAAATCGCTCCGAACACTAAGCTTTTGGAAGGATTTCGTCTTGCGCGCGCGAATGTCCACTTTACCTTATTTTTTGCAAGGGATTCTTGAAATTTGATTATATTAGAACAAGAAATGTCATTTTATAGTGTTTTTTGCAAGGGAAAGCGGATTACAACAAAACAACCGGATCTTGATCAACTCGAATTACCTGAGGCTTCCTCACGAAAATGATGAAAATGTAGCTGCGGCCTAGGCGCGGCGGGGGGGGGCGCGCACCAGGGGGCCCAACAATAATTATTCTTTAGAATTAATAATGTTCAACAACAACAACAACAACAACAACAACACAACACAACAACAACAACAACAACAACAACAACAACAACATCAACAACAACAACAACAACAATCATTTTACCCGAACGCTCAGTGTTCTCCCCAGTGCCAGGGTTTTCATGCGACGCCAGCCAATACCCCCACTTCGTGGGGGGGCAATGCAAGCTCTACCAAACATCCACACGACTCTCGGGAACCACCCACACCCAGCTTCCCGCCCTATGACGTCAGGACACTTCACTTCGTGGCGCGCGGACGATCGTGGATACTACACTGGCGTGGAGTACACACCCGCAGAGGTTGATCACTTGTTTGGGCCCCGCATGTGCCCCGCATGGTGCATTTGTTGCGTATGACATACATAGTACAGAGAGCGGGTGGAAGAGCCCGCGGGTGGATTTTGATATTTTTCGGATGAGAAAGTCTTGCGTTTGCATATGTTTTCGGAACATCGCATCTTGAAATTATTGAAATCACATTATGTTTGGCAGGATTTCGGCACGCGCGCGCGGCGGCCGCGCGCATGTGCACTTCGTGTCATTTTTTGCAAGGGATGGTGGCCCTCGTAGGCTCGCAACCGTTGTTGCAGAAGGTCGAAGCACCTGAAAAGGTTCCTCGCAAAGGCCCTTTTAACAGAAATGTTTAAAATCTGGTGGGTTTCCTAGGAATCCGCAAGAGCGCGCGGAAGGACATTTTGACAATTTTTTCTGAGAAAACCATTGGGTTTTTGATGTTTTTATGTTAAAATCGCTACGAAACCTAAGGTTTTGGAAGGATTTCGTCTTGCGCGCACGAATGTCCACTTTACCTTATTTTTTGCAAGGGATTCTTGCAATTTGATCAAGTAAAAACAAGAATTTTCATTTTCTATTGTTTTTTGCAAGGGAAAACGAGCGTCAACAAAAAACCGGATCCGGAGCTCATCCACTTTTCTGAAGCTTTCGCGAAAAAATGATGAAAATGTAGCTGCGGCCTAGGCGCGGCGCAGAGGTCGCGCACCAGGGGTCCCAACAATAATAATTCTTTAGAAGGAATAATGTTCAACAACAACAACAAAAACAACAACAACACACAACACACAACACACAACACACAACACACAACAACATCAGGCAAGCAGCAGGCCGCATCGGCTCGCCCGAATATCGAAATCGAATATGATTGGGCCAGCCAGGGCCGACATCGGATCGAATCGATCGGATCGTGAAAAAACAACTCACGGAAGCTTCTGATCACCCCCATAGCGCTCAATAGCGCGCCTAATCGCGCGCGGAGCGGGCATGATGCATCTCCCTCACATGCCGCTATTGGTCTCGATTGGTCGCTCTTGGGCGCTATGTGAGCGATCTTTGGCGCTCCTGGGCGCTGTTGGGCGCCACTGGGCGCTAGTCGCCGAGATGCATCCTATCCAAGAAGAGCGGAAGCTTCTGTGACTTACTATGCGAGACAGGGATTTATCCATATCCACAGCCTGGGAGACGACGTGCTGGTGCCCCAGCGGGCGGTGGATATGGATATATGTCAGCCCCCGGGAGCCCGAATGTATCCATATCCGTCGCCTGCCGAGGTCCCCGAAAATTGATCCTCCCGGCGGTGGCCATGTATAAATTCCCGCCTCGGATACGATCTAGTGAACGTTTTCTGATTCGGCGTTTCGACATTGGGCGGAATCGGGTGGGAGGGAGGGGGGTCTGGCTCTGGACCTCTGCATAATGCGACTGTTTGCAACAGTGCGTCCTGTGGGGGGGGGGGACTCCACCTGCCTGAGACAGGTGCCAGAAACAGCCAAGATCTACTCCATGGGGGGGGGAGCGGTGGGGGTGCGAAAGCCCGCGCCGATCGGCAAAGCACTGAATAAAAGCCCGCGCCGATCGGCAAAGCACTGAATAAGAAAACGATCACCATCGAGACGGACCCTGCCTGTTGAGCAGGGACCGACCGTCCCGGCATTCTCATAGTCCTACCACGACATGTTCTTAGAAGCCCCCAAAATGTTCTTAGAACACAAAAAAGTTCTTAGAACATCAACCCGATGTGTGAAGGCAAGACAGCCTCAGCCAGAAGTGCTCGCAGAAAACTCCGTGCAACCCACCAAAGGTTCTCAGAACATTCTCTGCTGGGCCTTCAGGCGAGCCAGGACGCTTCGCCACTGCTTGAGCCTGGGATCCCCAGGCGGGCCCGGCGGGCGGCGCCGCGGCCAGCGCAGCGGCCCCCGCGGCAGCCAGCGCAGCGGCGAGCACGCCGGCCACCGCTGCCGCTCCCAGTGACCGCACGCCTCGGCCCGCGCGGGCCCCGGCGGTGCGCGGGGCGCCCGGCGGCATGCGGGCCGCCTCCGACGGAGAGGCCGCCGCCTGCAGTGGGAGGCACAAGGACAATCAGCATCAGTGAAATCACGAAAAAAAAAATGTACGGGCTGCGCCCACAAATCAAGATGAGGAGGAGGGATTCTCCTGCGGCCATCGGCCATCCCGGTGTGGGACCCACAAGGACATGCCAGTACTACACGTTCTCCTTGGAGGCGCGCGTCCGACCCGAACATATAGTATACCCATGTTGTAGCACATCGTTTCCCGAGCGGTGTGGCCAGAAAAAGCGCCCGCCACGACGCATACACTGTAAGATTGCGCGTCGCCCCTGGGGGGGCGACGCACACATAGTATGAGTATGTTGGGGTGACGCCGAGCCTCCTTCTGCGGCTGGGAGCCTCCCATACATCTCGTTGGCTCCAGCGAATCGACGCCCATCGACGCTACATCAGCGCTGAACCTGCCAGACGCTAGCGCGCGCAAGTACACGCTGCACAGACGGCATGCCGAGGACATCCAAGGCTAGCATGATCCGCTACCGAAGCTTCCCAAGACGGAGCCGGAGCAGACTGGTGAAAGAACAGCGCACACTTTGTCAGCAGCGAGGGCGAGCGCCAACGCGTTCTCTGGTAGCCAGCGGGCCGCGCCAGAACTGCGGGCACACGAGTGCGGACGGAAAAGAGCGAGGGCGGCCGCGGAGGAAGACTGCGGGAGGCTGGCCATCGCTCGGACGTCCATTTCCCGTGCATGTTTTGGTTTCGTGCGTGTTTTTTCGCCAAATGACCAAGGATGCTCCTCGAAGGTCCTCGCCGAAGGAAAATGCACACGTCCGAGCGATGCCGAGGAGGAGGCCTCAAGCGTGAAGAGCCTTCGCCACGAGGAGTGCGCAGGCGGCCTCGGGAGCTGGGGACCGGCGTGCCCAAACTCTGCGCGCTCGGTCCAAGCTGCCGAAGGCAGGGGAGGAAGAGGGGGGCAGCACCAGGATCCACCGAAGAGGCAAGCCGTCATCCGCTGGGCGGTAAGGAAAATGACGCTGCTGAGCCATGAGCGTCGCAAGAACACACACACAATCAAACCTGTAGGGAGGAGGAATGGGGAAGGGAAGGCGATGAAGGCGCTGTAGAGATGGGTGCGAGTTGTCGGACCCCGAGGGGGATTCCCGCTCGGGCGCGGACCACCATCCGACAACACACACCCACAGCCCCCCCTCAAGAATTCTACCACGAGAAAGCTGGAGGTCGCATGGGTATGCTACTTGCCCGGTCATGAATAGAGAGGGCCAGAAGATCGCGCCGCATCGCCGATGCGTCGCGATGCACCGGCGACGTCGGCGATGCATCGGCGACCTCGGCGTGGCCCGAATCGGAATCCACATTGAGCCGCATCGCCGATGTACTGACGATGCGGCGCGATCCTCTGACCCCACCTGCTCGGGCCCCAGCTGGGAGGCCCAGATGCAAGAAGGCGTGGGCGTGCTGGAGCGCCAAGTGCTGCCTGGGGGGGCCTCTGCCCTCCTCTCGTCTCTGGACCGTCAAAACGGGTGTCCCGGGGGGAGGGAGGAGGAAGGGGGGAGGAGGAAGGGGGGGATGGAGGATGGAGGAGGGAGGAGGGAAGAGCTTGAGAAGCAGGAGGCAGGAGGCAGGAGCGAGGCGGGAGGAGGGAGGAGGGAGGAGGGAGGCGGAGGAGGAGGAGGAGGAGCAGGGAAGAGGGAAGAGGGAGGACGGAGGAGGAGGATGGAAGAGTACAGACCTCCACAACTCCACGCTGTGCAGAAAGCACGGCGTCGGCGTTCTGGAGCACGAGGCCAGGCCAGCCGCCTGGTGGCACCTGAGCCTGGGCCAGCGGAGGGCGGAAGGGAGGAGTCGGCGCCACGTGGCTCCCAAAACCCGGGTCAGCCAGAGGGGAGTGGCTGAACCCCCCCCGTTACAGTCGACCCGTATCATAGGGATGCACGAGGAGGATGCAAGGGCCTTGGAAGGCCACGTCGAAGCCTCTCGAGCGGGGCGCGGCCAGCGAGAGTGGCCAAGGATGGACCGAGGCGGCGGCAGGGATGCAAGGGCACCCTTGGGAGAACTGTCCATCCCTACTGTGCGGGTTGCCTGTAGCGCTGACCCCCTTACGCGAGCCCCGAGCATCCCCCACCCACCGAGCCTCCCAGCCCGTGGCAGTGGCTGAGCTTGCCGTAAGCGCCTGGAGAGAGTCTTACGAGGTCGGGCCGCGCCGGGTGGCGCACGGGGGTGCGATGCCGCCGAGGCTGCGGGCCTCTCGAGCCAGAGCGGCGGGTGCAGAGCACACGCTGCTGGCCGGGTGCATGGATCTCGCATTCTGCTCTCTCTCCCTCCCTCTCTCGGGCTCCCGATAGGCTCGCATTGCAGTGGGGGCCCCGGCCACAAGAAACCTTCCAATGGAAACCCAACCCTGAGACCCCAGGACGTCCATCGATGCTTGGCGTGGGAACGTCACGCATTCCATGGCACCACCATCGAAACCCAAGAAACCCAAGGCACCCTGGAGGCAAGCAGGGTGCTTCTTGGCATGGGTCTTCACTGTAAATTTAGCGGCAGATCGCTGCGAAGAGACAGAACAACCACCGGACAGCTCGACCCTCAGCCTCTGAACAGTCCCACGCCAAGGGGCGAGCATACCTATATATATATATATATATATATAAATATATCTATATATATATATATATATATATATATATATCCGCCGGCACCCTTGTGGGGCCTGCACCAGTTCCAGTTTCCAGTTTCCACTGTTACAGTTCTGCTTCTTGCTGCTTACTGTTCCTTGTTGACGGATCGCGCGAGGGGGGGGAGCCGAGAAGGAACCGAGTTACCACGCCCGAATCGCGAGGCTTGAATTCCTGGGGGGGGGGGGGACATATAAAAATACATGAAACTTGCGCCCCCGAGGCCATAAACCCTCGTAAATGATATAAGATTCGCGTCCCCGATAAACCTTCGTAAGTTACACAATACTTGCGTCTCCGAGGCCATAAACGCTTGTAAATCACACGATATTCGCGTCCCCGAAGCCATAAACCTTCGCAAATGACTCGGTATTGGCGTCTCCGAAGACATTAACCTACGTAAATGACGCAAGATTTGAGACCCCGAAGCCATAAACTTTCGTAAATTATGCTATACTCGAGTGTTCGAAGCCATACACCCTCGTAAAGTACGCATATTCGCGTCTCCGAAGCCATAAACCTGTGCAAATGACGCTAGACTTGCGAGCCCGAAACCATAAACCCTCGTAAATTACGCGCTAGTCGCGTATCCGAAGCCATAAACCCTCGAAATACAACACCGGATGCAACGATATGATCAGAATCTCAATTTGTCTTGCCGATTACTCATCGTCTTCGCGTGAAGTCCCGACGCTGCTTCACGGCGGCGCCAAGGCCTCATGATTTCGCTCATGCATTGCCCATTATCCGAGAGAGGGGGCCGGCGGCAGGGGGCGAAGCCCTTACGGATATATGATCCAGGGTCGAGGGCCCACGGGCTCCCCCCCCCCCCCAGATGGTATGGTCCCAGAGTTCCTCGGCCCCCCCCCCAGATGGTATGGTCCCAGAGTTCCTCGGCCCCCCCACAGGGGACCGACCACGACGACAACAACGACGACGACGACGACGACCACGACGACGACGACGACGGCGACGACTACGACGACGACGACGACGACGACGACGACCACGACGACGACAACGACGGCTGCGGCGGCGACGACGCCGGCGGCGGCGGCGACGACGACGACGATGACGACGATGACGACGGCGACGACGACAATGACAACGACGACGACGACGACGACGACGACGACGACGACGATGACGACGACGACGACGACGACGACGACGACGACGACGAGGACGACGAGGACGACGAGGACGACGAGGACGACGACGACGACGACGACGACGACGACGACGACGACGACGACGACTCTGAACCACCACAGCACCACACCACATCCACAGGGGGGGGGAGGGGGGCACCGCAGCGCAGCACCACGCCACGCCCACCTCTGAACCACCACAGCACCACACCACATCCACAGGGGGGGGGGGACCGCAGCGCAGCACCACGCCACGCCCACAGGGGGGGGCGGGGGGGACCATCGCGCGGGGGGGGGGGGCCCAATGGCATCAGCATTGGGGGGGGGGCCAAGCCCTGGACCATATATGCACGCATATGTACACGTATATATATATATATATATACACACGTATATCTATATAAATATTTCTATATATACACGCGGGCGCAGCACCGCGCTGGGTGTGTGGGCATTGCCTGGGCCTAGCAGGCGAGGACCCAATACTGCATCGCGCGGCGTGGGCGGGGGGCGGCGCCGAGCGCAAGGCCACTCCCCTCTTCCCTCCTCCTCCTCCTCCTCCTCCTCCTCCTCCTCCCCCTCCTCATCCTCCTCCTCCTCCTCCTCCTTCTCCTCCTCCTCCTCCTCATCATCATCATCCGTCCACCTATCACCTCCACCCTACCAAGTCATCCGTCAACCTCGTCCTCCTCCCTCGCCCTCCCTCCCCCACTTCCTAAAAACCCTCATCCCCCTGGCCTAAAACTGCCAGCGAAATATCCACACACCTTCAGCGTGAATATTCTCATCCACCACAGATAGAACTGCCAGCGAAATATCCTCAGCCCCCTGGACTAAAACTGCCAGCGAAATACCCTCGCCCCTCTGGCGTAAAACTACCAGCGACAGATCCTCAGCCACAAGAGATAGAGGTGGTGCCAGCAAAATACCCTCACCCCCTGGCCCAAAACTGCCAGCGCAATATCCTCAGCCCCTGGGCGTAAAACTGCCAGCGAAATATCCGCAGCCCCCTGGCCTACAACTGCCAGCGAAATTTCCCCACGCCCCCAGCGTAAAACTGCCAGCGTAAGATCAGAACTCCCCTGGCATAGAACAGTCAACGAAATATCCTCACCCCTCTGGCGAAAAACTGCCAACAAAGCATCCTCCCCCCCCCCCTGGCCTAGCACTTCCTTCGAAAAATCCTCAACCCCATAGCCTAAAACTGCCAGCGAAATATCATCACACACCCTGGCGTAAAACGGCCAGCCAAATATCCTCAACCCCCTGGCCTAAAACTGCCAGCGACATGTTCTCACCCCCCCTGGCGTAAAATTGCCAGCCAAATATCCTTCCCCCCCTGGCCTAAAACTGCCAGCGAGATATCCTCACCCCCCTCCGGGCCTAGCACTAAAAGCAAAATATTCTCACCCACCCTGGCCTAAAACTGCCAGCGACATATCCTCATCCACCCAAAAAACCTGCCATCGAAATATCCTGAACCCCCTGGCCAACAACTGCCAGCGAAATATCCTTAAGCGTCTTGCCTAAAACTGCCATCGAACTATCATCCCCCCCTGGCCTAAAACTGGCAGCAAAACATCATCACCCCCCTGGCCTCAAACTGCCAGCGAAACATTCTCAGCCTTCGGAGACAAACATGCCATCTGACGGCACGGGTGATTCTGTCAGCTCGATTCCGTTAACCATAATCAGTCAGTTCACGAAAAAACAAGTTTACGGGCTGCGCCCATTAATCAGGATGAGGAGGAGGAGGGAGTCTCCATCCTGGTGTGGGACCCACAAGGACATGCCAGCACTATGTGTCCTCATTGGAGGCGTGCGTCCGACCCGAACATATAGCATGCCCATCTTGTAGTATATCGTTTCCCGGGCGGTGTGACCAGAAAAAGCGCCCGCCACGACGCATATACTTTGAGATTTCTCGGTGCGCGCGTCGCCCGTGGGGAGGGGGGCGACACACACTAGTATTAGTATGCTGTGCCAGACGCACTGCGGCAGTGCCAGGGACGCGCTGGGGGGGGGGGACAGCGTTACGTTGTTGGTGAGGGAGGGGGGGGGAGGGGCAGGGGCAGAACGCGCGTTATGGACAAGAGGGAAGCAGATCAAAGGAGCCAACAGCAACAACAGCAGCAGCAACAACAGCAACGACAACTACAACGGCAGCAGCAGCAACAACAATAACCACAGCAGCAACAACAACAACAACAATAGCAGCAACCACAACAACAATCATTTTAAGACTGTTCGCTCGGACTGGCACGCGTGTCTTGCATTCCGTATACCCCAACCCTCGATACCCGCCCACCTCGTCTTCAATTGCACCCCCTTTTCGGGGGGAATCTCTTCCTTGTCGGCCACTGACTGAAGCGCGAAGAAGTCTCAAGCGAGAGCGCCTTTCGTGAGTTCGAGGGCCTCTCTGGCCAAGGGCTCTCGGAATACCTATGGAAAAATATCGAACGGGAACCATTGTCGCCGTGTCCGGGCCTCCACCAACTTGCTTGAATTACGGGAATGTTTCGAACGAGAGCGCCGATCCTGAGTTCGGAGGCCTTCTTGGCCAGGGGCTCTCGGAGTAAATCGTGAGGAAGTATCGAGCAGGAGCACTTGTCGTCGTTGCTGGACCTTTGCCACCTTACTGGAATCGCGAGGAAGTCTCGAGCGAAAACGCCGTTTCTGAGTTCGGGGGCCTCTCTGGCCAGGGTGTCGGGGTAAATTGTGAAGATATCTCGAGCGGGAGCCGTTGTTGTCGTAGCTGGGTCTCCAAGGGCCCACAGTTAGGCTCAAGCCAACGCTCGAGCGGGAGCCTCGCTTTCAAAGAAAATGTAGCCGGCGTCGAGGCGAGAGGGCGCGGAACCGCTTCCGGAGATCAGCAATATTGAGCATTTAGAGATGAGGAATCAACAACAACAACAACAACAATCACTTTACCCGAACGCTCAGTGTTCTCACCAGTGCCAGGGTTTTCATGCGACGCCAGCCAATACCCCCACTTTGTGGGGGGGCAGTGCAAGCTCTACCAAATATCCACACGACTCTTCGCCACCACCCACACCCAGCTTCCCGCCCTATGACGTTCGGACACTTCACTTCGTGGCCTGCGGACGACCGTGGCTACTACACTGGCGTGGAGTACACACCCACAGAAGTTGTTAAGCCTACGTTCGTACACCCACAGAAGTTGTTAAGCCTTGTTAACCCACAGAAGTTGTTAAGCCTTCCACAGAACATCTGTTGCATATGATGCATATGGTACATGATACACATGATACACATGATACGTACTCACAAGATAGTTGATCACATCTTTAGGGCAAATTCCTGAGGGATGTGGGAATACACAAGAGAGAGAGGATATGGTTGTCCCGATGGTTGTCTCGATGGTTGCGCGCGCGGGTAGAAATTTTGAAAAGTCGTGCAGGTGTTTTTCGAGGACCTACGGTGCGATTCGTGTGATTTTATGATGCGCGGTGCTAAAATTCTTAAGAAGCCCAATGGTTTTTGGAGATTTCGGCGTGCGCGCGCGAAGAAAAAACGAATGTGTCCCGCATGGTATTATTTGACAGGGATGATGGCCCTGGCAGGTGCGCAACCGTTGTCGCAGAAGTTCGAAAAAGTTGCTCGCAAAAGCCCGTTTGACAGAAATGTTTAAAAAGTGTTGGGTTTCCTACGAATCCGCAAGAGCGCGCGGGATGAGATTTTGACATTTTTTGTTGAAAAACCATTGGTTTTTTGATGTTTTTATGTTAAAATCGCTGCGAACACTAAGGTTTTGGAAGGATTTCGTCTTGCGCGCGCGAATGTCCACTTTACCTTATTTTTTGCAAGGGATTCTTGAAATTTGATTATATTAGAACAAGAAATGTCATTTTCTATTGTTTTTTGCAAGGGAAAGCGGATTACAACAAAACAACCGGATCTGGATCACATCGTTTTACCTGAGGCTTCCTCACGAAAATGATGAAAATGTGGCTGCGGCCTAGGCGCGGCGGGGGGGGCGTGCACCAGGGGTCCCAACAATAATTATTCTTAAGAAGAAATAATGTTCAACAACAACAACAACAACAACAGAAACAACAACACCAACAACAAAAACAACAACAACAACACCAACAACAACAAAACAACAACATCAACCGCAACAACAACCAACAACAATAACGACAAACAAACAAAAAACAAACAAACAAACAAACAAACAAACAACAACAACAGTAACAACCACAACCACAACCACAACCACAACAACAACAATCATGTTGATACTGCTCGCTCTTATCTGCTCGAATGTCCGATAACGCGTATTTCCCAAACCTTCGATACCCGCCCTCTTCGTCTTCGATCGTACCCCTTGTGGGGTATACCTTTCTTCCCTGCAGGCCGGACCCCGGCAAGCGGCGTGGCGGCCGCGGACCGTCGGCCTGGCCAGTGGCAGCGCTGGTCGGCGGCAACCCGACCCCAACAGGGACGGACAGGGGACCGACCACGACGACGACAACGACGACGACGACGGACGACGACGACGACGACGACGACGACGACGACGACGACGACGACGACGACGACGACGACGACGGCAGGGCAGCGAGGGGGCCACGAAGGGCTGCAACGGGGCCACGAAGGGCAGCGAGATCCCGATTCCTAAATTACCTGTGAGGGAGTCCTAAGCGTGACCGAGCGAGACTCCTGGGTGCCTCGGTGCCGGAATCGCGGCGCTGGAGTAAATTGCGGTAAATTCCAACGCAAGGGCGTTATTCTTGATCCTGAAAAAATTGTAAGGAAGTCCTAAGCGAGAGCGCGATTCCTGAATCAAATGCGAGGAATCAGCGAGGAAGTCTCGGGCGGGAGCGGGGGCCATGGCTAAAGTGTGAGGAAATCTCAGACGGGAGCCGTTGTTGCAACCCGGGGGCCAACAACGCAGTTTGAGGACGAAGACTTTCCCTGACAAAAAACAGGGTGCGAGCGCCGGGAGGGGCACTTCACGTGAAAGAAAATATGCACCGGAGGGGGTGGATCAACAATACATATTCCAGTAATGAGAGTTCCACAACAACAACAACAACAACAACAACAACAACAACAACAACAACAACAACAACAACAACATCAACAACAACAACGACAACAGCAACAACCACAACAACAACAAAACAAAGGCAGCAACAGCAGAAGCAACAGCAACAGCAGCAACAGCAGCAACAACAACAAGAAACGACAACAGCAACAACAACAGCAACAACCAGCAACAGCATCAGCAACAGCAACAACAACAACCACAACCACAACCACAACAACAACAACAACAACACCAACAACAACAACAACAACAACAGCAGAGGCAACAACAACAACAATAACAACGACGACGACGACGACAACTACAACAACAACAACAACAACCACAACAACAACAGCAGCAACAGCAAAAACAACAACAACAGCATAAACAACAACAACTACAGCAGCAGCAGCAGCAACAACAACAACAGCAGCAACAACACCAATAACCAAAAAAAACACTGTCCAAGCGGACACACCACTGCACGCGAACTCAGCAGGGAGTCTGGACGGGGTGCTCGTGAGGGCCTGCTGGGGCTCCTCGGGCGCCTGCCTCCCGAGAGGCCGCTCGGAGGCCTCCTGACAGCCTGGGCTGCGCAAGTGCCTCTCTCCGCGCAATCACTCGGAGGAAGTGGCCGCGCTCCGGCAGAAGACCTTGAAGGTCCAGGTGCCCGGACTCGCCGCCTCGGCAGGGGCACCTGGCACGGCGCCGCCAGCGAGGGAGGCGGCGGCGACCAGCTCGTACGCCGCCTCCATGTCGGCCCTCGGCAGCAGCGTCTGGCAGACCGGAGGAGGGCGAGCCGGCGGACCGCGCACAGCTTCCGCAGCGGGCTGGTACTCCGTCACCAGCAGCACCCCCACGTCACGGCACCCGCGCCCGTAGAGCCCTCTCGTGGAAGAGGGCCCCGCCTCGACGCTCACGGCAGCGCCCGGGGCTTCCACTCGGAGGTGCCGCAGGACAGAGCTCAGGCTGAGTCTCGCGGCCGGGAGCGCCACGACCTTTCGCAGCCCCAGAACCGTGTGGCGACGGACCGCGTAGTGACCACAGAATCCCCAAACGACCTCACCGCGCGGTCCGTCACCACACGGTTCTTGAACCCTGGAGACCCCAGTCGTCCGAGACATCCTCGGAGAACGATGCTGAGATCCAGCGTTGCGA